ATGATAGTATTTCTGCTGCAAGTACCTCTGATGTTCAAGATCGCCTCTCAGCTCTTGAGTCACGAGTTCAACAACAAGAAGATGAAATCACTGTTCTAAAGGCAGCTTTGGCTGATGTTTTGAGGCGGCTTGCAATCTCTGAAGATCATGTAGCCTCAGTGAAAAAGTCTGTGCCAAGTAAAGGTAATTAAGTGGGTTGTAAAGAAGAGTCTTGTATTTTCTGGCTTTTTCTTTTGAAAATTGAGGTTGGAAATATGAAACTATTTACGTGTTTGAATTACTTGTGATTGTATTAGGTTACTTTATTCCCCCAAATTCTCTCTCATTTTTCAAGACAGGGTTTCTCTGAGTAACAGAGTTCCCCCAAATTCCAAAATTAACTAATTATTCATTCATTCATTTGTTTTTCTGAGACAGGGTTTCTCTGTCTAGAGTTCTCCCAAATTCCAAAAGTAAGTTATTTAGTTAGTTTTTCCAGACAGGGTTTCTCTGTGTAGCCCTGGCTGTCCTGAGCTCACTTTGTAGACCAGGCTGGCCTAGAACTCACAGAGGTCCACCTGCCTCTGTTTCCTGAGTGCTGGGATTAAAGGCCTGTGCCACAGCACCCAGTTTATTCTTTATCATTTTAATTGGGAACTCTGTGTAATGCCACTGACTTCTCTTACATGCTTTCCTGCCATAATATTTCTAACTATATAATAAATTTATATATTTATTGCAGAGGGCAAGGACTGAACCTTTTTGAGCGTCCTATCTTAAATATAGCCAGGTATTCAATCTACTTATTACAGAAACATGATTAAAATCTTTGTTAGTTAAGTAGCTTCATTCTAAGCCTTCTGTGGTCAGTAGTTAAATTACTGCCAACCTCAGTACAATAGAAATTTTAACATCCAAATATTGTTTCAAAGTAATGGAAAACAATCCTTAGGACTCTGTTGCGCGCATTTAAAGCAGATGTAGCCCTTTTTCTTCCACCAAGAAATTTTTAATTCTTTCACATTAATCAAGCAGTGTTTGGAAAGGGGAGGTTTGCACTGCTTTACCCAAATAGCAGTGATTCAGGAAGGCTAGAACAAGATATAGGCAGAAGCGCTACATTCCTCCAGGTGCTCACAGCACAGTTAGCCGGGCTTACAAGAAAGGTTTTTTAGTGTGATATGTGCTGTCTGTGTAGTGGAAGAAAGTGTGGTGCTGTATGAACAGACCTTCATAGACAGTTGAAATACAGGTATGCTGTTCTTGCTAGCCATCGAGATTTGGGGGCTCAGTAACTTACAGATGAAAGTTGGTATAGTAGAAAGGGGTATAAAACAAGAAAGCCCAGCATAGCATCAGTGATATAAGTTGTAAACCCACTAGAGAGGGCAACTAAAATAGATTGATAAGTAACATTTGTAGTTGGCTGTCTGAGGGAATATTAGAAAACTTTTTAAAAGCAGTTTTAGTGGAAAATGTAGTATTTTGAGAAATATAATTTGAATTTTCCAGTTGAAAATTGTAGAATTAAGAGCAGTGACTTAAAAAAAAATTGCCTGAAAGTAAAAGGTGCTAGTACCTATAAAAGGATGTTAAATTTAAGACCAGTTGTAATATTACTCATTTATTTATAGTGCTAAGGATCTAAGTGAAGGCCTCACGCATCCTAGGCAAGCACTGTACCGCTGAGCTATGTGCATGCCCAGCCCTGTTGTATACTTCTTATGTTTTAAGATGTTGTACAAACAAATACATGGAGAACAGAAAGGCAGCAAAGAAGAAGAGAGTATTGGTGCTGGTGATAAGAACTGGTGAAGCAAGTTTTCTCTGAGAAGGGTGACCATAGGTCAGGGAAGAAACTAGTAAGCCTTAGATAGAAAAATAACTACCCCTTCTAGGGAAGGAGATGCAGTTCCGTGGAAGAGTGCTTTCCTGGCCTGCACAAAGTTCCCAGTTCATTCCCAGTACTGCTAAAAAGAACAAACAAAGCTGGGCGTGGTGGTGCACACCTTTAATCCCAGACTCAGGTGTATCTCTGTGAGTTTGAGCAGCCTAGTCTACAAAACAGATCTAGGACAGCCAGGGCCACACAGAGAAATCCTGCCTTCGATACTATAGAAAGAGATAAAGCCCAGCAGAAGTATACACACTTAGATCTGAGCGTGCGTATGAGTCAGAGCTGTATTGTTTGTTTGTTTGCTGTGTATGTATGAGGACAATTTGGCAGAAGTTGGTTCTCTTTCCACTTTGTGGATTCCAGGAATAAAATTCAAGTCACCAGTTTTGGCAGCAAGCACTCTTAGAAACACTGATCTATCTTACCTTCATTCTCTTTGACACAGTAAAACAATTTTGGTTATAGGGTTGTTTTGTTTTGTTTTGTTTTGTTTTGTTTTGTTTTGTTTTGAGAGAGGGTCAGGTGCTGCTCTCTTCCCCACCCATGTGCTAAAATCATGGGCACATTATCTTTTAAGATAGGTTTCAGATGGTGGATAAAAGAGAGAAAATGGTCTGTTGAGAGTAGAGAATGGAAGGCTGTGGATGTGAAAGATGTGTTGAGTGGCCTGAGGAGATGTAAGTAGGAAAGTCTTGGAAGGAGTAATGGGCTAAGAATGATAACATTGTCTGGTTTTGTGATTCTGCACTTTGGACCTAAATGTAGATAGTGAAGATTTAGAAAGGGGAAGACTCAATCCTTCATTATTAGTGGTAGTTGGACATGTGTCAGTGACAAGAAATTTAAAGTTTGGTGAAAAGGCTTGGCAGGAACTTCTTTGTTGTTTTAATTAAAATTTTTTTTTATAACTTTTTGAGAATCAACTTTGAAGACTGCTGTAGTTGAGACAGTAACAAATGATTTGCTTCAGAGCTGATTTTTATACAAGGATTTTGAAGTTGCTAGAGTAGAATGGTGAAGCGGATCAGTTAACACCTAAGGCTGGGTAGAATGGTTATACCCTTGTTAAAGAGTAAATAGCAAACTTTGTTGTAACTGGCATCTCTACCCTCGGCTTTAGTCTGTATGCATATGTTAAGTCCTGTAGTATAAAATAACAGTGTTTCTTTGATGTCCACAGTATTTTAAATATATACCTTTATTTTTAACGATCATGTAATAAATGGATTTATTTCTGGGATACATTGTAACATTTTCATGCATGCATGTAACATGGAGTGGTCATGTAAAGGTACTTGGCCTGTCACCTCAGACATTTGTTATTTATTTGCGTTAGAAACATTCAGAATTCTCTCTAGTACTATTTTGAGGTATTCAAACAGTTTTAGTCAACCGTAGTTATCCTCTTGTACTGTGTAAACTATTACAACTCATTTTTTTCTACCCATTTTCACCCCTGTACCTCTTAACCATCTTTTCTCTATCATATGCTTTTCAGACTGTGCTAAGCACTATTCTCTACTTCTTTGAAATCAACTTTTAGCTTCCACATACACGAGTACCTTCTATACATGAGTACCTTCTATGCCTGAATTACCTCAGCTAACATACTGTCCTCCAGGATCCATATATGTTGAAGACATCAGAAAAAATGACTCTTTAAAATGGCTGAATAGTAATTCAGTTCTGTATATGTGTGTATATGTTTGTGTAGATATATAGATATATACACATACATATATACAAGTTATTCATGTCTTCATTGCTCTGAAAAATACTAAGAAAGCAATTTAAAAGAATTAAAAAGTAATAAAATTAGGAGTTACAGAGGTGGCTCAGCAGTTAAGAGCCCTGGCAGTCTTCCAGAGGGTTTAGGTTAGATTACTAGCACCCTCAGGGCAGCTCATCTGTAACTCCAACACCCTCTTCTGGCTTCCACAGGCACTGCATGCAAGGTAATGGACAAATTTGGGCAGAACACCTATGCACATAAAATTAAAGAAAAACCGTTTTCAAAATCTCAGAATCTTACCTTGCTGCTTTTGTAACATGCTAATGTAGTTACATTCTGAAATGAGATCCATTTCATTGATTATTCTCTGAGTTGTTTGGTTGTTTAGACACAGGATGTCCATAAAATGGATTGATAAGGTTGTTGCTAATAATTTGAAAAAAAAAAAAAACTCCATAGATAAACACAGTTCATTAAGATTAGTTATTGTTCGTGGAGATTTTATCTAATTATGTTTTCCAGTACTGATAATAAGACATGAAGAGATGTAAAATTTTGTAGGTTTTGTTACTGAAAACTTAAGCAGGTTTATATTTCTCTTGTATATAACTATTTGTATATAGTTATATTATCAAAGCAACTAAAATCAGGTGTCAGTTTTTAATTAGTTGAATTAATACGTGTTAATGATATGAAAATCTCAATAAATAGTTTAAGCAAAATATTTTCAAATTGAAATTTTCACAAAACAGGTGTTAAAATACACTTAAACTTTAAAAGGTAAAAATATTTCTTGTACTGTGGACAACTCTGTTATATCAAATTTTTAGTTTCTTTTGAAATTAGAATTAAGTACAGTCAACACCGTAATATCTGTAGATTCCGTGAGCCAATGTTCAGAAACATTCAGGGACGAAAAACCTGCACATATGTTAAACATCTACATATTTTCCTGTCATCATTCCTTGAACAGTAATATAATCTGCACTTACATAGATAGCATCTACATTTTGTGAGGTATTTTAGAAAATGTTTCAGCTAATGCAGGAGGTGACTTGCGTTCAGAAAGATTTTTGTTTTCAGATTTGAGCAGAAACGCTCAGATATGGAGTGTTTCTGTATTCACTCTCCCTAAGTTATTGACAGGACAGTGACCATCTCATCACCCTACACTATTTTCTTCTCTCTTCTGGCTTGTCTGGCTGTGTAGGTAGGCACTGACACTCCTTAGGTAGTTAGGGTACAAGTTAGTCCTAGGATGTGTCACAAATGCAGATAAACCACCGGCTTTGAAACACTCTGGAATGTCAGATATTTAATCCATACATTTACAACTTTAATTATGTTTTTGTAAGTGTTTAATTTTACTTGAGTCATAACTATGCTCTATTCCCAATTTTTAAATAAACCTGACTCTTACTAAATAGGCCTATTTAATCTGTGGCTTTGACTCTTTTTCTGACCACAACTGCTTACCCACCACACATTTATTCTGTATTTTTTACTTTAAGAGTTATTTTATATAGTTAAACTTCATTTATATAGAATAGCCCTCTAAAATTTGATGTGCACAATATTAGAAATTTAAGGTATATGGTTGGGTCATGAGCTTCAGAGCTGTCATATAAAAGCAACCATTTAGCTGAGTGAGTAGGCCTAGCATCCTAGCAGCTTAGTATAGCTTCTCTATTGGTCTATGTGCATGGTGTTAAAAGTAAACAGTAGTGCTGTTTGATGAATGTTGTGGGTGAGGCCATCTGCTCACTCTTTCTAAACACTAATAGACTTAATTTTTAAAACTTTGCTCATTAAGGAATGTTTTGAAATTTGTTACAGTTTTTTTTTCTTAACTATTTTAGGCCAGTCAAGCCTTCGAGAAGCTATTTCCATGTCCTGTATAACCAATGGAAGTGGTATAAATAGGAAACAGAATCACAACAGCTCTGTGTCGATAGCAAGAAAAGAAACTCTTTCTTCTGCTGCTAAAAGGTACCTGATTGTTATGGGTTGGAGGCACTGGCAGTGCGTGATAAATTAGGCTACTCATGTGAAGAGTTACAAGTAGAGGCCTATGGGAGTCAAGTGTGCATGTCTTAAATTCTTTAATTCTGAGTGAGACACCTAGCCTGAGCACACTGTGCTTACTTACATTAATCACACCTGTCAAGTTTTACTCAGAAAGATTTTGTTCTTAAGAGAGAGCCCTCTTATTTTCTGGAATTTTGTTGCTACTGTTGTTTGTTTTTGTTTTTCAGCCAGAATTTATTGATACATTTAATGAAATTTATTGATATATTAGTGAAATTATATAACCAAACTTCCTTAGCAAGTGACATATTTGATATATAACATTTTAAAGGCAAAATAGACTATTTTATATATATTTTAGTGGGAGGTTTAAGACTATTATAACCTTTTCCTTAACAAAAATCAGAAAACTGAGGCTCACCTCAAAGTATTCTAGTAGTGGTGTGTGTCTGCATGTTCAGGGCTGGTAGGGACTCATCAGTTAATTCAGTATAATTCACTGTTCCAGGGATAATGCTTAAGTGACATTTGTCCACTTTTTTTTTTTTTTTTAATTACTGTCACATGAAGTTTGGAAAGTTATATAGGAAATCAGCTGTACAGAACAGGTTGTTTTGTTGTTTGATAATGCATAAGGGGAAAACAGTTTAAAAAGTAAACTGATGGAATGTAAACTAATACTGGTGAGTGAATGGTTCACAGTGTAGAATTACAGGTGTTAACCAAACAGGCGGCTACAAGAATGGTGAAGAAATCACAACATCTTCAGTTCTTGATAAATTTCTCCAGAACCTAGTGTTATTACAGAATATAGATTTTTTTTTTCCCGTTTCAAAGAATGCTAAAGTTATCTCTTCTTCATTTTTCAGGGGAAAACATTGGAATCAAACATTCATAGTATATAATATCTTTTTTTCAAGATTGTTTAATTTTTTATCTCATCATTGTGTTTGCCTTTGGATGAGCACATCATGCAGTGCCCACAGGAAGAGGATTTTGGAGACCTGTAACTGAAGTTACTGGTGACTGTGAGCTGCCATGTGGGTGCTGAAAATCAGACCCAGGTCCTATGCAAGCACAACAAGGGCTCTTAGCTGCGGAGCCATCTCTCCAGCCTTTATTGTATTATTTTTAATAAACGTAACTTTTTATTCAGTGACAATTTAGTTTTAGCTGGTTTTCTTAAGTGGTTGCTGTACTGTTGCACTGTAGTGATCAGCACAATAGCAAAGAATGATTAGGACCACCTGGTTCTGTTCCTTTACTGTGTAGGGCACTAGATTAGCTTTTAAAGTAGCCTGAAAGCAAAATCTCTTTAAGCATAAAGGACACTTTAAAAACCAGTACAAAAAAAACAGCAGCTAATTCAGACCCTCCCTCCCTCCTTCCTTTCTTTTTGTGTGTGGTATATGAATGCGTGTATACATTATGTACATATCTATCTGCATATGTGGCTACATGGCTGATATTGGATGTTTATCATTCCTAACCTTGGTTTTTGAGGCAGGGCTTCTTATTCAACCTGTAGCTTGCAATTTTGCCTTGATTGGATGGCCACCAAGCCCCCGGGGCCCCCCCCCCCCCCGTCCCTGCCCCTCCTCCGGTGCTGGGTGACAGGTGAATGCTGCCGTGCCTGGCATTTACGTGGGAGCTGGAGATCCAAACTCACATCCTCACACTCAACACAGCACACGCTTCACCCGCTCACCATCTCCAGGCCCAGATTTTTAATTTTAAGGTTTAATATGGTACTTCTCTGGTGAGAATTTGTTTCTTAGCACACACTCCTTTAAATAATAATAATTTTTAAAAATAAATAACAATTAACAAAAAAGATTTAAACACACACACACATAAAACCTGAACATAGACTCAGTAATCAGTGGCCGGTACAAAGCTATCAAAACTGAATCAGACTCAGAAATGTCAAAGTCAAAACGATGTTATTACAATTTTAACTATTAACAATGTGATAGTGGAGTTATATAGACTGTGTGTTTGTGTGTGTGTGTGTGTGTATACACATACATATATATGTATATATATACAGGCATATATGTGTATATATACATATATGTGTATATACATATATGCCTGTATATATACATATATATGTGTATATACATATATGCCTGTATATATATACATATATATGTGTATATACATATATGCCTGTATATATACATATGTATATTTGTGACAGATATTCTTAAAACATACCTTATAAAACTGAAATGTCTTTTGCTTAAGAACTATATAGCATTTACAGTTTTCTTCCTTTTCAGTACTGGAACAAAAGTCTTAAGTCCGTTCTCTTTATTAGTACTCAGTGTCAGGATGCAGCTGAGACTGATGGTGGTTTGTTGTGTTGTGTTGTGTTAAGACATGGTTTTTCTGTGTGACAGCTCTGGCTGGGCTAGCACTCCCTTTAGAACACACTGGCCTCAAACTCAAGAGATCCGCCTGCTCTGCCTCCATATGCCCAGAGGCTGTATGCTGTTTTATCTGTTAAGTGTCCAAGTGCAAAGTCATAAAAATAACATAAGTACATTGAGCATTTTAACTTAAAATATGTCAGTATTTAGTCAATTGTCAGGACGGGCCTTCCCCTTTTCTAAGGATGCATGAATGATCAAATTTCTTGACTGTCTTACAGAAAATAATACCTATAGGTAACGTCATAATTCTTAGAATGTAAAACTCTAGCAAACAGTATATTAGAATGACTTTAAAAATTGTCTGACCTTCATTTACGAACATTTTTTAAAAGACAATTTACTTTTTAAAATATTGTGCGTGTGTGTGTGTTAGTATGTACATTTGTATTCAGGTTCGTTGAATCTCACTAGGGCTGGAGTGGTGGTATGAATCACCTGATGTGTATACTAGGACTTGAACTCTGGTCTTCTGGAGGAACAACAGGCACTCTTTTAACAGCTGAACCATCTCTTCACCCCTCACAGCCCTTTTAGTAACTTTTAAAACAGTCATTCTAAAGCATTAAACTTGGTTCCAAATGAGTTTTCTTTTTATCTATGTTTTATATTTTTACACTTACCTTTTATAACTAAAGTAACAACTTAGCATTAACAGATATGAAATAAACCATACATTTTTAGTAAGATTAAAACTCTTGTTGGGGACTTGGAGTGTAGCTCATCAAAAGAGTGCTTAGCTAGAACTTGGAAGACCTTGAATTGATGCTCAGTGCCACAGCCCACCCTCCCCTGTTTCCCCCAGAGAGACGGGGCAGAGGAATCCAGGACTGGTCTGGATTGAGTGTAAGCACTTATTGTGTCATCAGTCAGTCTGTTTCCACAAGGGATGCAAAGTTCCCCTAATACTCTAATTTGAATAAGTTGAAGTCAGTCAAGAGAGCTTCTAAAGTCCTACAAATCTACCAAAATTACAAAATTCATTGAGGTCACTTCTGTCCAAACGGTCAATCTTCATAGGATGTATTAGTACCTTCAATTTTAAAAAATTAACTCTTTATCTTTAGTAAAGATTTTTTTTTACTGAATAAAATAAGTTATATTAGTTATATAATTCAGGGTATTAAATTATAATCACCTATTATTTTGATTTTAAAGTTTGTTTAAATATGTGTTGTTCCATGTTATACTTTATTTTACAGTGGTACAGAGAAAAAGAAAGAAAAGCCACAAGGACAGAGAGAAAAAAAAGAGGAATCTCATTCTAATGATCAGAGCCCACAAATCCGAGCGTCACCTTCTCCCCAGCCCTCCTCACAGCCTCTCCAAATAAACAGGCAAACTCCAGAGAGCAAGAGTTCTCCCACCAAAAGGTTCTAACCAGCTCCAAGGACAGAACTAGGGAATGGTTGTAAAGATACCTAAATTCTGCAATTTGGGCTATCCATGGATTCCAAGAGAAAACTTCTCATTGCTGTAATCTATGTTTTAGAACATCGGGAAATAAAGGTTTAAAACCATAATTTTTCAGTTACAATTGGCAAAGAAATTAAGATACAAATAATTTGGTAAAAGTAAAAAGATATAAACAACCCAAACAACATTTTTATAAATAAAATTGTACAATATTTTTAAGTTTTTATGTAGTTGTGTAAATTTATAGCCATGGATAGAAAGTACCATATTATCCTCACCACATTTTGGCATCATTACAACCTCAACTTGCAAGGCCCCTTTAAACAACCTTTTCTTGTGACTGCTTCTCAATTTCAGCTTTGGGTCTTGGGAGGATAAGTTCTTGCTTGAGTATGGAAATGAATTCATTTCACCTGGTCTTTTCTATGCTAAAGGTTTGTTTGAGAGCTTTTCTCTGTTCCTGTAATAATTAATGTTTTAAAGTAATGAGAGGGGGCGAAGGGAAAACATTCTAACAGATGCGTGTGAGCCTAATTTGGGGGTGCAGACCTGCATGCTGGGGCTCAATGCTGCAGCTACCTTGTAACAAATACTGATAGCAGTTTAATTAAATTGTCCTATTTAGAAACACAGACTCAAGCTTTTAGCATTCCTTAGGTATTTTATTATTGTAGTTCTGCTGAGGAATTTGAGGAAACTTTTAAACCATCTCCAAAACTGGTTAGGATTTCAGCAAAGTAAATAACAGTCACCCCTAAAAGACTTGCAGTATATTTCTCTTTAGCTACTTTAATGCTTTGATTCAAGTCTGTAAGAAGTTTGAAAAACGGAAGTGTCCTTCACTTGATTAATGCATGTTTACCATTTACAGAATGCTTTGTCTCTGCGCCTCATGCAAATTCTTGTGCTGTCTAAGTGTTTGTGGTTCTTATGCCTGGGTCTCCTTTGGAGGTTTTTTAACGTAGCTTATGAATGTTATGCAACTTCTTGTGTGTGGGGAAGGCTCATGATCTTTTTAAGGTTCTGTCGTCATTGTCCCAGAATCTCCTTTTCAGCTTAAGGTCTCCTGGAAATGTGCTTGCCCTTCTAAATTACTCTTTGGATGCACTGTTGCAGAAGTATTGCAGACTGGATGAGTTTCAGGATGGTTAGCAATGCAGCCAGAAAGTCATTTGTAAACCATAAAATTTCAGTTATAAATGCAGGGAATCCTGATATTGCCAATAAACAGCTTTTATTGTATCAAATAATTGTTTACTTCGGAGCCTGGATAAAAGTCTCTAAAACTGTGAACAAGTTTTAGTTTTAGCATCACAGTTTATTTAGAAATTTGTGCCATGTATAAATTAACTTCATGAACATAATTACAGACAGAATGAGATGTATAGTCTTATATTTTGGTGGTTAATAACTCATTTTATTACTACAAATTATGAGGAATATCACAGTTTAAAGCATTTCCTCTATTAACAGCATATAGAGGGTTTTTTTTTTTTCAGATATGTTTGTTCTATTGGACCTTTTGAAATGACAGTATAACACAGACTTCCTAATTGCCTTGCTAACCTCCTCCACCCATTCAGCCAGAGCCTTTCAACTAATCCTTCTCACCCCTGGATTCGCTTTAAGAGAATGTTAACCACTTCTTTCATCTCCTATTGAAACTGTCAGTTACCTGTTACTACTCCTCAGAACAGTCTTCTAAGAGATTAATGTGCTCTTTCCAGCATAAAACGGCCACCAGCAGCTGAAAAGTCACAGAACTTGTGGGAAAATTCAGATGACAGTCGCAATAAATTATTGAAAACTGTTTCAACATCAAAAATAATATCAAAGGTTATAAAAAATACAGACAAGTAAGTTAAATTATACTTTGTCGTGTATAAAAATTAATAATTGTGCATTTATACTGTTCTGTGTAATAACGTCTGGTTTGAATTTTTAATCTATTTTAGTTGATTTATTTTTCTTGTCAGTGTATTTTTTTTAAGTCTTCATAGAAAAGCTTTGTCTTCCTATTAATTTTTCTCCAGTATCTCAATATTCTAAGATTGAAGTATTATGCTCTTATTTTTTTTTTTTTTTGCTTTCACTGTTTTGTGACTTTTTGTTTTATAAAATAGAACATATATAATATATTAGTAGTTGGCCACCGGGAAAAAAAAAATGCTACTTCCTGAATTTTACTTGTAGAAATTTATCTAGGGTATGGGCTTAGAGCATCAAAATATTTTAATTCTTTCAGGTGATTGTAATTCTGAGCCTTATAAAATAAATGTATTTATTTCATTCCCTTTTTAGACATAAAGATGTCATCATCAATCAAGGTAAATTAAATTTTCTTTTTTAAAATACTTGCTTTTTAAAAGTTGCTGATTCATAAGCATATGACTTAATTTTATTCAGTATAATTTATTAGTTTGTAGTAATTGAAGAGACATTATTGTCATTTAAGAAAATGCTGAGTTTTTATTGTAAGATGTGTCATTTTTGTCTCTATCAGCAAAAATGTCAACCCGTGAAAAAAACAGCCAAGGTAAGAATAAGCCCTGCAGTGGGTGGCCTCCGGAGTTGCCCTCTGCATCTCTTATTTGGCTTTCCATCAGCACTACTCTCTGACTTTCCTCCTAACTGAGGAAAGACCGTGGGAATTTGAACTAGTAAGTGTAACTGCTTTAAAAATTTATGTATCTTCTGTGAACTCTGAAGAATTAAGGTGAACAGTAAAAATAAATATAGCAACATGAAGAAGTAAAAAAATATATTTCCTCTAAAAATTATACTTAGAAAAGCCATTTAAAAGATTGATAAATTTTAACTCAGTTTTCTGCTTTGCCAACTTGGTTGCAAATAATCACTTATTTCTTGCTGCCAAAACTCATATAATGAGAGGTCTAGCAAAGCATTTCCTCTTAAATTTTTCCCTTTCATTAATTGTTATTTCTGGCTACTTGCTGATGGCTTGTTCTGACCAAAACAGAATAACTCTCTGTGTGTATACTTAATTGCAAAGTAAATAAGTTTTATATATCAATTATACATTCTCGTATTGCTTGCAAACTTAATTGAAGCATGCTATTTTAGATGAAACCTTGCTTTTTCTGTGCATGCTTTTGCAGCTCATTTATTCTGTCATCCTACCTTTGTTTTCTGGACTATTAATTGGCTAAAATGTGCTTAAATTTTTGTTAACAATTTAACTTAATTTCTATAGGGTTTTTACTTTCTTTCATTCTAGTAAGAAAAATATGTTTATTGGTTATATTCTTTAGGTCATAAATTTTTAACACTGAAAGTATAAATAAGATTGAAATTTGATGATATTGTACTTTAGGTAGATCTGAACTTTTTGCAGTACAGTGGTGTAGGTTGCATAATGGTTGACATACTCAAGGAAAATACTGAATTTATTCACAAACACAATTTTGACTTTAGCCAAACTGTTAAATAGAGGCACTGATAAACAGAAAGAGTATTGAAAGTGGACAGTCCACACTCTTCTGTTTGGTAGCATCATGGCCTAGGCCTAACAACAGTGTATTTGAATAGTGTTTTGACCTGCAGATAATAATCACAGCACAGCTTACTTCGTATAACTCTTGAGAATATGCAGAAGTCCTTTACAACTAGGAACCACTGTGCCCAGAGATGTGCGCTGTTACTAAGTGTCTAGAGAAGCCCTTAAATCTAACAGAAGCCTCATAAGGTAATTGAGAAAGGGCTGTCTGTCTTAGTGTGTTTGCAAGGGGAAGGGGGCTTAACATTAGTCTGTAAGACTGGTTTGTGTTGGCACAATCTTCAAAATCATTCAGGTAAGCAAGTAAAATAATGTCATTATATGAGTGGTTATAGTGAGAGGGTGGTAGGTGGTTGGGAGACGGCAAAGAAAGGTGTAGAAAAAAAGGATGTTGACCTTTGTTATAAGAATTTTACCTTAAAAATGTTTCCTTAAGGATGGGAATTGATGACATCAAATGTTGACCACACTGACCATTAATTATACAACTTAAGTACGTTTCTTTGCTCTTTAGTTTATTCTTTCTGGAAAATAATCACTAGAGTGGACCTGTCTAAAACTTTTTAAAGATTTATTTATATATTTTATGTGTATGGTACTTTGCATGTACATCTGCACACCAGAAGAAGGCATCAGACAGTTTTAAGTCGCTATGTTTGTGCTGGGAATTGAATTCAGGACCTTTGGAAGAGTGAGTGCACTTAACTGCTGAGCCATGTCTCCAACCCCCCTGTCAAGACTCTTGTGTAGTGGCTTACATAGTTAGTCCTTAAATTGTTGAGCCGGTGTAGGAGGTAGGAAACAGGCGTTATGGAGACTAGCTTGAGAGAGCATCTCTGCGAAAGAGCAGGCATGGAGAAGTGCGTGTGCGTAAAAGAGCTAGAATTTTGTTTTCAGCAATTACCCTTGTGTAATCTTTAAAACTTAGAAAATAAATCCCTTCACCTACATACAGATGTGCAGCAAGCAACATGTAGCTATTTTCGGCGTCTAGAAACCGACTTTGAGCTTATTGTTTCACTTCTCCACATCTTTGTTTTTGTGTTTTGTTTTTGGGAGCAGCTCAAAGCCCATTTGTTGATTTGGTAAAACATTTTCTCCTACTGAGACTTTTGGTTTCAGTGTTACCATGTTCAGTTAGGTCCTGTTGACACTGTCAATCACTGTATATACCCATCAGTGGTATACCCACCAAGTTTACAAGGGAAGGACAGTAAACTTACCTGCTCTATCCCCATGCTACTCACATTGGTTCTCCAAAATTGGTTTGCCAAAATTACTCTGATTTTTCCCATTTAGTAACATTTTAAATGTCTAAAAGACTGTGAAATATTTTCCCTTCTAAAAATATGTATAAATACTATAGGAAGCACCTATAATTTGACCCACATTTATCTTCACTTTTTTTTGTTTTGTTTTGTTTTGTTTTGTTTTCTGAATGTTTTTAAGAAGAAAGCCATGAGACCCAGGTGTGGTGCTTACACCTGTACTCTCCTCATTGAGAGGCTGAGTGGGAATTTAAGGACAGCCTTCATTCAGAAGGAAACCCAGTCTCAGAAAACTCAAAGCACAAAAACAAAGCATGAATGCTAAAGCCTCCTAATGAATCCTGTTCAGTCAGATTTTGTGTGCAGGTTTTATAGTCACCCGGAACTATGTGTTTTTCTTCCTGCCACAGTTAATTTCGAAAGCAGAGCTAGAGAGGGGTAGGGGTAACATCTGAATTCCCTCCTGTCCCTCTTTTTGTGTGACAGAGTCTCACTATTATTCCCATCACTATTCCTAACCTTTCAAAAAGAAAGCCTTTGGGGGGCAGTAAAAATCCAAAATATACAAAGAAACTCTTGTATGTGATGTGACGTTTTCAAGTAATCTTATGACAGAGTTCTAAACGAAGCAGCAAAGGTGATGAGAGGTGGCTTGCAGTCAAAAGAGATTAATTGTAAATTGGTTTATTGTTTTAATTAACATCGAGTTCTTAGGTACATAGATATTTATCTGTGTCTCTGAGGTAAGCTCTTTGTTAGGACCATGTCTTTTGTATTATGTATGTGCCTCTTGATAATTTGCAGAACAAAAAATGAGATCAAAATGGCATTTTAATACTTAGGATAAAACTCAAGGTTTTATCTTAGTTGGCAAAACTAGCTGCAGCATATTTGGTAGGCACTGTAACTAGGAGTTGTTTTGTTTTGTTTTTATTTAACCTATGGAGTTAGATTTAGAATGCACCAACCACTTATGACACACATACATACACACACTTTTTTAAAAATTCCTTGCACAAAACATTTTTTTGAACTTTTTTTCTTCTTGTTTTTTAAAAGACAGGGGCTAAACTGACTGGCCTGGCTAAACTGTAGACCAGGCTGCCTCTGCCTTTTGAATGTTGAGATTAAAGGTGCATGTCAACACGCCTAACCTGGTTTGTTGATTTTTAAAATGTTATTATGAAACAACGTGGTCAGAGGCTGGAGAGGTGGCTTGGTGGTTAAGAGCACTTGTTGCTCTTGCAGAGGACTTGGGTTTCATTCCTGTCACCCACACATACTGGCAAGTTATAACCAGGGATCCCATGCCTTCTTCTACCTCCCAGGACTTCTGTACACAGGTGGTGCACTGATAGACACTTGAGTCATTACCCAGGACTTGAAACCATTCTAAGAAATCTTCCAAAACTGATCTGTCAGTTTCTCCTATAAAATCAGAGCTCCTTTATCCAGCATCTTCTTTTTCATTTTGGGTTTTAGCTCAGAGCCTCCCAAATGTGGGATTACAGGCATCCACTGTCATGCTCAGGGTTCTGAAAGTGGAAACCTACAGGTGAAGATAGTGAATCTGTGAACACTCAAGAAATTCAGAGGTCTTTGACACAAGCACCATGACACAAGTGACTAATACAGCACTACTGTTTCTGAAAGGCTTTTTCCCGTTTTTAATTCTCTTAAGTGTAGGAATGAAGGAAGCAATAGGACTGATCTTGAAGTAGACTATTCAGTTGTCTTCCTTCTTACTATACTTAGAATTTTTTCTTTCATTTTGTTGTATTCTATGAAAGAGAAATACATTTTGATAAGAATATTTTAAATATATAACTTTATTTACTCTTTACGTGAACATGTATTTATTCAGCACCACTACTTTTCTCAGAATACCTGAGACACCAGCTTTTAAAGCATGGGTGCTTCCTTTAGGGACTACAATGATTGCATTCTGCAGGAGAGCAAATCTGAGGTAGCTAAAGGGGAGGGGGCCCATGAGCAGGTCTAGGGAAGCTCATGAAAGGAGAGGTGTGCCACCAAGACTTCACTCCCCCCAGAGATACTGGAGTGCAGCACCCTCCTTGTGCTGCACTTGCTGACTGTCGGTGTTCTGCTACACTGTAGAATCACCAGAATATTGGTGTATTTGCCTACCCTTGCTTTCCTGTAGCTGGCCACTTGAAAAATTATGCAGAGATTAAATGGAATATTAAATTACTATACAAATTGGTAAGCCATGTTTAAATTGTCACCTCTTGCCACACACAGCAGACCCAGCACTCAGGTTTGATACTATTCTGGGTCATAGAGCCTTGTAGTAGAACCACAGAATAAAAGTTATACCGCCTTCTTAAAGGAAGAAGGGTAAATACTCACAAGGACCTTAAATTATGTTTCACAGTATATTAACTTATTTAATCATAACTCCAAGTATTAGTGTTACCATTTTATTTGCTGGGAAAGTGAAGCCAGACCTCATACAGAGAGTAAACCAGGATTCAGATTCTAGCTCGTCTTTCCTTCATCATGTGTTGTATTGCTTTCTTTTCGGTGCCAGAAAGTGTTTCAAGTTCCCACACTATATACATGGTCTCCAATGTGTACGCATCAGTTCAGATGGCAAAGCATTTTGACACTGCTAGTTTTATTTCGTAGGAGAAAGATGAGTGAGCGCCAAAATAGCTCCTTTGCTTTCCTATGAAATTTATTTTGCTGCTTAACAGCTAATGAAAGAGTGGTGCTCTGAGTTCTTTCAGTCATGCTAGCCTTTTTGTATAATATGTGCTATGGCTAACCCTTCCTCTTTGCTAACCATGCTTCCCTTTAAAAAGCAGTGGAGATACCTGTTGTTGTTCACTGTTCAGAATGTGTTTACCATGTATAAAAAATTCTCAGAAATTTAAGAGCAGATTTTAACAATTTAATGTTCTTTTTAAAAATCAAGAAAGTTGTATCACAGATTGATACCTGTAAGAGTAGATTTACTGGGCACAGGGGTCTTCTGAGACTGATACTCTAACCAAGGACCATTTATGGATATAACCTAGAACTCCTGCTCAGATGTAGCCCATGGCAGCTCAGTATCGAAGTGGGTCTCCCTAGTAAGGGGAATAGGGACTGTCTCTGACATGAACTCAGTGACTGGCTCTTTGATCACCTCCCCGGGGGAAGGAGGGGGGAAAGTAGCCTTACCAGGCCACAGAGAAAGATAATGCAGCCAGTCCCGATGAGACCTGATAAGCTAGGGTCAGATGGAAGGGGGGAGGAGGACCTCCCCTATCAGTGGACATGGGAGGAAATGAAGGAGGGAAGGTAGGATTGGGAAGGGAGGAGGGAGGGAGTTACTGTGGGAAACAGTGAATAAACTCTAATTAATATAAAAAAATTTTTAAAGTAGATTATTTACCACCACTCCCAAAGATAAAGATGATTCTAGAAGGGAGATTTTTACATTTACAACTGGTAGTCATTTAGTTATCAGCAAACTTCAGCAATGCTAAAAATCATCAGGAAGCAAGGCCCACTCTTAATTCAGAAGTAATAATGACATGCATTATGGGGTATTAAAACCATAGTGTGGGAGGGCTTACCCTGTTCTTAGATCAAGCCCTGAGGCTAAGCACACTATGAGTAATAATAATAAAAATAACTTGAACTTCTCACCTATAATAAGCATAGCTTTTTTTAAAATAGCTTTTTAATCTGAAGTAATGGTTGCAGGCAGACACTCTACAAGAAATGTATCTTCTTCATAGTTTACATTATATAAACTACTCAATTTTGTATATTGGATTATGTACTGTCTCTTTTAGTAACAGGTCATTAATAGAGATTTTAAGTTCACATCAGCCTCTGATTGATGATCACAATTTCATTTTGTGCCAGACAAGTTAGTAAGTGCTAGACATTCCTGTGCCATTGTACCAGCCTTTCTCCTTCCCTTTTAGCTTTGGCAACTATTTCACAGTGGTAACATATCAGCATGCTAGGTGCAGAGATAGGTGGGGTTTGTGTTGGTTTTTCTTCTTTTGGAGGAATGGACAGCCCTATTTTGGGGTTTTTCCTGCTGTTCTTGTTTGTTTTTTGAGACAAGGTCTTAGTATGCAGGCCTGGAATTTAATTATGTAGACCAAGTTACCCTTGAATTTATACATGATCTTCCTGCTTCTGCCCCTGAGTGCTAGGATTGCAGACATGAGCCACCATGCCCAGCTCTCGTCTGTTTCCCTTGGTAAGAGATGTATAGGCAGTATTGATTTGATTCTGACTCATCTTTTAGAAATATTTTAGTTTTAGACTATTGAAGATCTTGTAAACAACTATTCATTTATATAAACAAAAGCTGTTTCAGAACGTATGGTTCTCGTAAGGAAAGAAAGACTGTTCTCTCACTGTCTTGAAAATATTTGAGTTATAATTGAATTTGGTTGTTACAAGGCTGATGGAAGGCACAACTGTGAAGCGAGAAGTGGTCCTGCTCATTTGCTAATTAGCTAATAGCTCTTGCTTCCTTTCAACTTGAAACAGTGTTTCAGTCCTTTTCTCATGATGTAATCCAAGATCATGCTCTTGGTTTACTGTGGGAAGAGCACCTGACCTGAGATCTGCTGCCTTAAATCATGTGATTTAGTTAATACTGAGTAGGGCAGTGCTGTACAGTAGACTTAAGCTTTTATTCCTCCTGCTGACTGAAACTTCGTTGCTCATTTCCCTTTTCCTGTAGCCCCTAGTTAACTATACTCCTCCCATTCATGGGTTTGACTGTTTTAAATATGTCATATGAATTAAGTAAGATCTGTGTTTCTGTGACTGGCTTACTTACATATGTAACCACATCTTTATGTAAGTAGCCATTTAGGTTGTTAGCAGATCTTGGCAGTTAGGAAATAGTGCTGCTGTGAACATGAGAGTTAGTGTTGTTATCTGTTCAAGGTCTTGATTTACATTCTTTTGGAAAACATCCAGTAGTAGGATTGCCAGATGACGAAGTAACTCTGAATTGTCTCTGAAGAGCCTCCACCCTCCTTTTCCCTTGCTGCTGCATCATTTGGCGTCCCTAGCAGCAGCATATACAGTGATCCTGTTTTTCCATATCCTTGTCTATACTTTGTTTTTGTTAATCATTCTAACAGGTCTGAAATGACATACATTGGTGGGTTTCATTCACATTTCCTTCATTTGTTACTATTAATGTTGCATGGTTTTCAGAGTGCTTCTTGACCATTTTATGTCCTTTTTTTTTTTTCTTGAGCAATATTTTCAAAGTATTTAACCTAGGTTTAAATACATTTAAAGGGGGTTCCTTGTTTTCTTTTGTTTTTTACTATTGAGCTGGTATCCATTACATGTTTAGAGATAGCCACCTTTTTACATACATGATTTGCAGATATTTCTCCTATTCCATAGTTTGTTCTTACTCTTCGATTGTTTCCTTGTGCAGAAGCTCTTTACTTTGCAAGGTTAAGTAGTGTGATAGACATGATTGTTATCTGTCCAAGTAATTTCTCTTTTCCTTGCAAGATAAGAAACCTCCATTACAAAAGTTTGCATTTTTTACTTGAGCTTTTCTGCCTTTATATTTGAATGAAAACAGTTATTCCCAGCTATACAAATGGCTACAGATTTGTTGTTTGTTTAGATATTAAAATTTTTTTTTTTTGCTTTCACTGTTTTGGACTAGATATTTATAGTATAACTGTGTTTTCTACGTATGCTCTGAAATATGTTTTTTAAAAACATGAAAAACTTCAGCTAGTCTTGTCATGTTTTCATTGTATCAGTAATATACTTTCCTACATTTACATTGGAAATACATGTGATTTAATTTTGTCTTATGTTTCAACAGAAGGAGAATATATTAAAATGTTTATGCGAGGTCGGCCGATTACGATGTTCATCCCTTCGGATGTTGACAACTATGATGATATCAAAACGGAACTGCCTCCTGAGAAGCTCAGACTGGAGTGGGCGTATCCTCCTCAGACATGAGAGAGCAAACCTGCTTGTTTTGTTCTTAAACCAGGAATAAAGCATAGAAATTAGAGAGGCGTCAGTATCTCTAAAACATGTTGGCTATAGTTTGCTAATAGGAATTCAAAGCCATCAGCATTAGTAGAGACAGGACAGCAGCTTCTGTGTGCCCTGGCGAGTAGCAGTGGTGGGCAGGAAAGACTCCAGACTAGAGCTGTAAGGGCAGTGTCTGAGTGCTGGCTCTGCACATGCCGTCTTCCACCTTAAACGGCTCATAAAAAGGGTTAACACCTGCCTCACAGGGCTCTGTAAGAATTTAAAACACTGATTTGGCATTTTGTAACCTATGAAATTATGTAGCCTATACGGTGAGTCCTATTTTTGTTTGTTTGTTTGTTTGTTTGTTTGTTTGTTTGTTTTGAGACGTGGGCTCGTTTGTTTGTTTGTTTGTTTGTTTTGAGACGTGGGCTCTTGGTATGTCTCCCTATGAAACCTTGCACTCACCCTGTAGCCTAGGGTGGTCTTATGTCACAAGGGTCTTCCTGCCTGAGCTTCATGATTCTCTTGACTCATCTGAAGAGCTTAGATTGGCAGGGACAATTGTAATTCTGAAATTAACTACTCTGCCAGACACAGGCACACAGAATAGTTTAATACTGAGCTCTCCTGGTTCCACCTGAAAAATCTCACTTATAGCCACTAAAAATCTCAGTGAAACAGGAAGAGAATAGTTGTGTAAACTCAGCTCTCTGTCTGTGTTCTTATATGCCCCACCCCCTAAATTCCTTATATTGAGCAAAATTAAATTACTTTGGAAAAGCTCACCAGTCCTGGAACAGGTTTTTATTACCATTCTACAGCAAACACTGGTTAACTAGCCTTTATCATTTTAGTCCCAGCATACATATTACCTTTACTTAGTTCTCATTTTCTACTTAGATAGGGTCTCCATGTATGCCTCCTCCTGGCATATTCTCATAGGTCTCAGTTTGACTTGTCAAGTACACTCTGAGTTCCTGGTATGGCCCAAGCTCTGTGATTAGAACTGTGCTTGGTCCATACTAGGAACTCAGAGTATATTTGTCCAAGGAATGTGCACATTAAGACAAATACAGTAAAAGACATAGGAAAGGGGGATGTGAGTGTCCCGGCTGTATCCAGTTCTCTCTCCGTTGTGCCTTGATGGCTCCCTAAACACTCTTGAGTATTTGCTTTAAAACCTTGACTTTTCGTTTAAGATATGGTTATCGAGGAAAGGATTGTCGAGCAAATGTTTACCTGCTTCCCACAGGGGAGATAGTTTATTTTATTGCATCAGTAGTGGTACTATTTAATTATGAGGAGAGGACTCAGCGACACTACCTGGGTCATACAGACTGTGTGAAATGGTTGGTATCAGTTATCGTTTATCAGCTTTTGCTTACCTGTCTTCATCATAGTTGTTGTTACTGAGTTGCACTGAAAGTTTACGGTTGGGAAGCTTAGGATATAAGGAAGGACCTTGTGGATATCCTGTGGAATATATTTTTTTAAAGTAAAACATTAACATTCTTCAGAATACTGTGGTATCGATAGCAATAAAATACACTGCTCTAAATCTCAGTTGTTGTACTCTCCCCTGCTGTCTCAGATCTGTTGTATTAAATCCATGTAGAACAGACTAGATTCCATGAATTTCGGAAGTAGTGTTTCATTCATTACTTAGTATTTATTAAGGCTAAGTTTTGGGCTTCGGGTTTTCCTTTCGGAGGGAGAGAAGCCATAAGCTGAATGGGATCTTAATACCCTGTGTGGTGTCACACTGTAATAGCAGCACTCTTTTTAAATACTTATGCTTAGGTTTTTCTCACTGAATGTTGCTGCTTTTTAGTTAAATTCAGTCATTTGTTACTAGAATCCATTGTTTTCTCACACTTAAAAGCTTAGCTTTATACTGTTCTGACAACTAGATAAAAATTTCTCTTAAATGTGAATGCTAGGAGAGTACATGGTTGATATTCAGCTTTCAGAAAAGATAAAAATACTTTCATACTTGCAAACTCATATATGTACAGAATCCATGTGATGTCACAAGAGTAAGAGTTAAAAGCATATCAAGTCTCTGACAGAGTTGCAGTGTATGTAAGTCAGAGTTTGGAAGTTAGCCTGATGAGACCCTGTCTTAGAAACAGACAGAAACTAGAAAGAAACAGCTGTAACAGGGAAGGAGGAAGCACTGCACGAGTTAAAAAGCAAGAAGGCAAGTGTGTTATCTCACTTGTATGGGGAAAAAAAGTGGTGCAAAATATATTTTGGCTTTACATGTGTAAACTATTTTCTACAGTTTCCAATAGAAAAAGTTATCATAGTTCCTTAAGTGTCAGAGGTCTAGGTTAAGGGAAAGGTAGGAAAAAGACTTTCTTTGTTTTTTAAGTAGCTTCTGATATTAGAGCATTACCTAGTACAGAAAATATAATTTAAAAATTTTGTTTAAAAAGAAAGCAATAACGATAATTAAATAGAGCAAAGTGTTAATTTGTTACAATTTTTAATGATTTATTTTTATTTTATGTAGATTGGCGTTTTGCCTGCACATAATGCATGTGTGAGGGTGTTGAATCCTCTGGAGCTGGAGTTCAGACAGTTGTGAGCTACCATATGGGTGCTGGGAATTGAACCTGGGTCCTCTGGAAGAGCAGCCAGTGCTCTTAACCACTGAGCCATCTCTCCAGCTCCTAGAGTTTTATTTTAAATGTAATTGATCTCTGTTCAGGATATAAATTGAGAAGAAATGAAATCAGAGAAGTATTAGTAAACTCTAGCCTCCTTAGAAATGAAAATCTGATGCCATTTATGCCAGATTGTTGAAACATTTCCCGAAGATACAATTCTTAACATGGAGAAGTTGTAGAAATTTGGAACATTTGTATCTTATGTGACAAATACTGTTCTTCTGGAAAATAATTAGCAATATATATCGGGAACAATTTTTATTTTATTTACTTACTTACTTACTTATTTGTTTGTTTGTTTATTTATTCATTTATCTACTTATTTATTTATTCATTTATTCATTCATTCATCCACTCATTCATTCATCCATTCATCCATCCATCCATCTGTCTATCTATCTGCTTATTTATTTATTTACTTACTTACTCACTCACTCTATTTATTTATTTATTTATTATTTTTTATTTTTATTTTTTATTTTATTTTTTTTTTTTTGTTGAGCTGACTCTTCAGCAAGGGAGCCAAATTGACAAGCTGAGTCCAGTCTCTAGAACCTGCAGGGTAGGAGAACACTTGCTCCCACAGTCTGCCTCTGGTCTCCACGTGCCCTCTCCCCATAAATAAGTGTAATGGTTAATAAGTAATATAGAAGGACTCCAAAGAGGGACGTGAGGACAGTAATTTTTGTAATCAGGAGCTAGAGAAATGGTTCAGTGTTAAAGCTTGTTATGCAGATATGGGACCCGAGTTATAATCCTAGCACCCATTAAAAAAAAAAAAAAAAAAAAAGCCGGGCACAGTACATGTCTGTAACTCCAGTGCTGTAGGATGGAGGAGGCAGGTCTCCAGTTGGCTGTCCAGCCAGTCTAGCCAAAACCTCAAGCTCCAGGTTCAGTGACAGACTCCACCCTGTTTCAGAAAAACAAGGTGGAGTAGGCAGTGCATTAACGCAGTGAGTAAAGCTGCATGCAGCACATACACTCTCCCAAGTGAATAAATAAATGTGTTTTTAAATAAATACACATCAGGCTATTGAGAAAGCTCAAAAGGCACTTGCCAAAGAACCTGACCACGTGAGCCATATGGTGGGAAGAGAAAACCAACTCCACAAGTTGTTCTCTGATCTCCACATGCTTGCATGCATTTATACACACACATGCATGGACTTGAACACACAAATAAATAAGTAATAAAATTTTCATTGCAAATATTAAGTGAGGTGGAGAGTGGTAGAGGAAGACACTCCACAGGTAGGCTCACACACCTTCATGGGCATGCACACCCACATCTTGTGGTCGGTTATGTGTGTGCCGTGGTAAGAGTGCAGTTGCTACGATATTTCCCATTTTTATTTAGAATTTGTTCCCTGGGTTAGATTTACAAAAGCTGAACATTAAGAAATAGTTATGGGGGCAGGGGAGCTGGAGAGATGGCTCAGAGATTAAGAGCACTGACTGTTCTTCCAAAGGTCCTGAGTTCAATTCCTAGCAATCACATGGTGCCTCACAAACATCTATAGTGAAATATGGTGCCCTCTTCCAATGCACAGGCACACATGTAGGTAGGGTATTGTACAAATAATAAATAAATAAATCTCTTTTAAAGAACTAGTTATAGGTCAGTAGAATTATATTCAAAGATGTTTACTGCAGCTTTTTGTTTGAAGAAATGTAGACATGCCTGAAAGACTGGACAATTGTTAATTTAGTATATGTATAGGGATTGTGTAAAGTTGAAGCTATCCTTCTATTTTAATAGATGAAAATTTCACTGGGCCATACTGAGCTTCCTAAAACCATGTAAGCATTTCTGCCTAAGTAGAGGAACTAAAAAGAAATTTGAACAGATGAAAATGGTTTCCATTCTTACTATATCAAATTATGAATAAATATTTTCTATGAATTCAGTGTTCCACTAATTTATTAACATTAATAAAGAAAAATAGAAGTTTGCTTAATTTACTAATAAAAATAAGTAGGTCACATATGTTTTTAAGACTATTTACTTAAAAAATGTTGATACAAAGGTGCCTTTATGCTGTTTTACATATTTCTGTAAGTTATTGTTAATACTGCTTTTTAGCCTTGCTATACATCCTGACAAGATTAGAATCGCAACTGGACAGATAGCTGGAGTGGACAAGGATGGAAGGGTAAGCAGCCAGTTTTTTGTATCTGCCCCTGCCTGCTGTTAGAAGGACTGACGGTCATTTTAGCCATCACCCATTATCCTACTCCCTGGAAATATATATGAAAGGACCTCTAGTGTTAGCAGGGGAAAGATACTAGAATTTAAGAAGGTCTTGAAATACAGGATTCATACTACTGTTTTCTTCTAAATAATAAGCATTCTCCCTAGAGAAACTATTTACATATGAAAATGGATGGACTTATGCTTGTATAAAGTTAAACTAAATTCTTAAGGAATGGGCCCTCTTGACTTTATATATTAGGATACCTCTTAAACACCTCTTACAGCTTCAGTTACTATTTGGCTTCATTAAATGTTTTATGTGACACCTTGACACCTCATTTCTGAGATCAACAAGTGTTATTGATGATGACATATGTGCATGATGTTCTGGGTTCAATTTCTATGAAGAAAAGCTGACAGTGGGGGATATGTAGATGGCTTGAAGATCCCTTCCAGTTCCATATTCTTTTAATAACTATTTCCATAGAACTTAGTAGACAGTCTTTTTCAAGGTACATTATGTCAAGAATAAAGGTAATGTACTAAAAATGAAGCGTCAAGATGGAGGGTCGCCCACACTTGTAGTACCTGCTTCCCGGTAGCCTCAAGCAGGAGTACTACTTGAGCTTAAGAGTTTGAGATAAGCCTGGATAAAATTTTAAGATCCTGTCTCAAAAATAGCAAAGTACCCAGAGCACATTTGAATTAGAGTTCTAGCTCCACCTCTTCGTGGCTGTAAAAGCTGACTACAATCTCTCTATCTCGGGCTCCATATCTCCAAAGTGAGATTGCAGATTATGAGGATTAAATTATTTTGCATATGGCATACGTTGAGTCACATATGAAATATTAAATATGCAAATTATTTGCTCCTATGATCATGTGTCCTTATTTTCATGGTATGAGGGAGCAAAGTACCTATTCGAGATTCTTTGGAGGCATGTCTAAATTTAGTAGTTTTTGCCTTATTAAGGTAGCAACTTGGGCTGGGTGTGGTGACACACGCCTTCTTTAGTCCCAGCATTCAAGAGGCAGAGGCAGGTGAATCTCTGAGCTTGAGGCCAGCCAGGTCTGCATAGTGAGTTATGGGATAGCCAGAGCTACATAAGAGACCTTGTCTCAAAAACATAAATAAATAAATAAAAAATAAGGCAGATTGCTGTTGGAGAGTTTTGTACATATCTCACCCACCTGGATACTCTAGTCCTATCTTGTGTTTTGCAGCCTCTGCAACCCCATGTCAGGGTGTGGGATTCAGTAAGTCTGTCCACACTGCACATTATTGGACTTGGAACTTTTGAGCGTGGAGTAGGATGCCTGGATTTTTCAAAAGCAGTAAGTCACAGTTATTTTTCAAAGTAGGCAAACTAAGCCCGAGTTTGTTTTTGTGTATGTGGATGAACTGTACCCATATAAAAATGAGATGCTGGTTATTTTCAACATAGCCTTTGTTAAATAGCTAGTATTATAATCTCAGTATTGAATTTGATTTAGATAGGATCAAGATACTACATTTGTTTATATTTCATTTGTCTCAGTTGGTGTTCTCTTTATTGCTGTGAAGAGACACCATGACCTCAACTTATAAATGGCTTATAAAAGAAAGCATTTAATTAGGGCTTGCTTACAGTTTCCAGGGTTTAGTCCATTGTCATTGTGGCATGGAGCATGGTGGCATACAGCAGACATGGTAGCTGAGAGTTCTCTCTCTGATTCCACAGGTAGCTGAGAGACTCTGGGCCTAGCATGGGCTTCTAAAACCTCAAAGTCCACCTCCAGTGTCATACTCCCTCCAAAAAGGCACACTTCCTAATCTTTTTAAATGGTTCTCCTCCCTGATGATCAAGCATTCAAATCTATGAGTCTGTGGGAACCATACACATTTAAACCACCACACTGTCTTTGTCCTGAGACAGGGTACCAGTGTAGTGAAGGGAAATAGGTAGAGGGTTATAGACAGGAATGTGGTACCATTTGAAATAAGCAATAAGATGTGCTTTATTTCAATAAAATAATCTTTTTTTGATGTCACATGAGAGAAAAGAAACAATCAGATCTTTGTAGTGCATAAAAATCATGAATTATCTTAGTTCTGAATTGATATCATTAACTGAATTTTGTATATAGTGACCTTGAGAAATGGCTCAGTGGTTAAGAGCACTTGCTGCTCTTGCAGAGAATCAGGGTTCAGTTCCCACGATTCACAGGATGGCTCAGAACCATCTCTAACTCTAGTTCCAGCAGATTCGATGCCCTCTTCTGGCCTCTGCAAGTACCAGACACATATATAGGGCACCTGTGTACATTCAGGCAAAACAGGCACACATGTGTGGCAATGCCATTTCAGCCCTGAGGGTTCATGATGAAAGGAAAGTAGGGTGTTGCTCATCTGAGTGTTTTACTTTTCCTTCAGTTAGTGAGTATACTTACAAGTTATGTAAGAAACCTATATTTTCACAGTCATTTTAAATTTTCAAGTAGGTTTCATTTTACACATCAGAATATATTTAGCTCTTCATATATTATCTCTTCAGTTATTACCTGTCAGTAGCTGTATTCTGACTTACAGAAATGTTGTGTGTCATGAAAAGAGACATTTTTTTAAGCAAAACATTTAGTTGAACTTATTTACCAGTTTTGCTAGTTTGAAGGCAGTGAATGATAAGAGTCTAACAAGTCAAGAGAAGGGAAGATAACAAACAGAAAGATCGATAGCAGGAACTATTGTCATGGTTTTGATACTGTTATTAATGCTAAGGCTATCTAGGGCAGGCCATTCTCTTAAGCTTTCTTCATTCTGATAATCATTTCAGTAGAGACAGTTGCTAGCCTGTGACTGACTAACTGCTGAGTGGGAATCGGCTCAGGAGCAGAACTGGATGTAGGGGGGAGCACACTTTTTGTTAATAGTACATTCAGTTGTGTCTCAAAGAAGGACTTTGACAAATTTTTCATTATCTCACTATTAGTTTTAATAATGGCTTTTTTTCTTCAAAATTATTTTTATTTAGGATTCAGGTGTTCATTTATGCGTTATCGATGACTCCAATGAACATATGCTTACTGTATGGGACTGGCAAAAAAAATCAAAAGTAGCAGAGATAAAGGTAAATCAAAATAAACTTTGGCTGTTGTAGTTAGAATCCATTTGACAGGTATTTGGGTTTATAGTATATGCCTATCTAGGTAATAAGAGTAAATTGACATTTCATATTTATCAGTTGATCAGGATTCTGGATATTAACACTACAGTTAGGTAAAATGAAGGCGTCGACTGCAGCAGTTTCATATTTCAGAAAACATCATGTCCAGTCTGTTAAAACTGAGCACTCTGCTTGGCTGTTGCCTTTTAATGAATTTGTAATACAGGGGTTTTGTATGATGTTCTAGAAAGTGCCATGCATTTGGAGGGATTGTAGAATCTATGTGCTGTGGAATAGTGTGGATCCCGTTGTGTGCCTCCGACTGGCTTGTGAGAAGTTGACATCACAGCAGAATTTATAGGGGCCTTTGATAACTCCTTGAAGAAAAATGTATTTCCAAGGCTGGAGAGATGGCTCAGCAGGTAGAACTAAGAAAGGAAGAATATATTTTGCTTCGGCTCCTTTGCTCTTTTTTCAGGGTTATTTTTGATAAATCACAAGTTTTCAGGTTTTTTTTGCTTAAAAAATGAGGTTTTGTTGTTGTTTTATGTATATGTAACTTAAGAAAGAGTACATTTCTTTGTACTTGAATATGGCTGACAGAAAGCCTCACACCTTAAAAAAACATAAATGAAGACAGATGATCTTTCAGTCATTACCCATCTGTATAGTTTACACTACTAAAGTGTAGGGAAGTTACAGCAAAATGAAATATGTAGATTTTTCTCTTTTATAGTAAGGTCTACTGGGTTTCCTCGCTGGCCATGCCTCGTCATGTTTCTGGGATATGTTGCTAGTACAGAGCTCTGTTGCAGACACTCCACTGAGGGTACTACTATCTGACTGAAGATTCTGAAGATACCATATAATGCTCTTCCAGCCCAGATTTCCTAGGCATCATGCATGAATGTTCTGTACCACAGAGCAAAATTAACATTACAGTCTCCTGATTGTCTCACCTAGTCCCACCCAGTATGCTTCCCAATGTGGATGTATTCATCCAAGACCAGGGACTCATTCTTGTCTCTTTCCCTCCTTTCTGTCCTCAAGAGTCCCCCAACTCTCCTAGATGTCCATTTCCAGGGTAGGTAATCGTAAGGAACTATGGCCTAACTTCAGAAGAGTTACTCCTGTTCAGGGCAGAAAGGAAAGCTTTTTGTAGAAAAAAACGAAGGCATTTGCCAAGAATGACTTGCTTCCAGGGCTGGATCCCTGGACCTTCTCTCTACCATCTCCTCCCTGTGTGTTGACCTTATGCCATTCTGACAGGGGCTGTCTTCGCTTAAGTCATAGGAATTGAGTGCCTGATAAACAGCTTTCTGTTGTGTAAGTGCAAAATTCAGTCTGGAGCTGCTGCTGTGTGGGTAAGCTGGTACAGCCATTTTGGAAAGCTATTTGGCATTACCTACTAAGGCTGAACATAGGTCTACTTACTGACACAGCCTGTTGCTCTCCAGAGTATAAACCCAACAGAAATCGATTAATGTGACCTGTTTACTAGAATGTACATTACAGTACCATTTAGAATGGCTTTTAAAAAAAAAAAAGTGCAGCTACCCTAGTCTCAGCAGGAAATGTGGTCAGTGGGTCCATCTATCTGTCAGTTGGTCTGTCTATCTGTCTTTCTTTTCCAGTGAATATTTTATAGCATTTAGAATGAGCATGAATGTATCTCACAAATGTTGAAAAAATACTGTAAACATGAAAGGAGTGCACTGCTTGCAATTCCGTTTAAGGGAAACAGACCAAGCTAGCCACTTTGATTTCCTACGTACAGGCAGAGGCCAGGTGACTAGAAAGGGATCCAGTCTGTTTCTAGCTCTGGTGCTTTGAGGTTGAAGACAACACATTGGGGGCTGGAGACTTGGCTCTGTGGTTAAGAACATTGGCTACTTTTTGAGAAGACCCAGGTTCAAATTCCCAGCATTCACCTGGCAGCTCACAACTGACACCTTTACACAGACATACATGCAGTATACATGAAAATAAAAATAAACTAAAAAAAGGTAACACATTGATCTTGCATCTTACAGTCATAGTATAGTTTCCTGAATATATAAGAAGTAAGCTATAATTCTTAAAATTTCTTATAAGTAAATAGCATAAGAATTGATATAATAGTAGGACATCAGATTTAAATCTTGATTCTAAAAGCCCGTTCTTAAATTTTTTTTTTTTTTTTTAGGAAAATAAGTCTTAGAAGAAAAACTATTTTTCCTGACTTTGTAAGGAACTATAATTGGATTTTGGTAGCAATAAGAATGAATGTATGTTCTTCTAAAAGTGTCTCTTCCTCCCTCCCCCCAGACAACAAATGAAGTTGTTTTGGCAGTGGAATTCCACCCAACAGATGCAAATACCATAATAACATGTGGTAAATCTCACATTTTTTTCTGGACCTGGAGTGGCAATTCACTAACAAGAAAACAGGGAATTTTTGGGGTAAGGATCAGAATGTTGTAACATCATTTTGTGTGTATGTGTGTGCGTGTGCTTGTATGTTTATGTATGTATGTGTGTGTGTGTGTGTGTGTATATATATATATAAAAGACTAGCATTATATATATTATGTATATATTTATTGTTGGTTAAGCAGAAAATCACCATTTCATAGAGAAAACTGAAAATTCTCTTTTTATTGTAGAAATATGAAAAGCCAAAATTTGTTCAGTGTTTAGCATTCTTGGGGAATGGAGATGTTCTCACTGGAGACTCAGGTGGAGTCATGCTTATCTGGAGCAAAACTACCATAGAGCCCCCTCCTGGGAAAGGACCTAAAGGTATGTTATCTCATGTTAAAAAACACACTGCATGATTCTTCCCTGGTGCTGTTACAGTCCTATCCTCAGCAAGCAGGGGAGATAGTGTGCACTAGATAGCGTTACCAACATGCCTGTTGCTTTTAGTCTTCTTCATAAAGATCCTTTCTAATGAAATTATTTATGTTGCATATATAATCTACATGTGATCATATAGAACATTTCCCTTCAGAAGTTCAATATGAGAGGGAGAGAGTTAGTACCCAAAGCAAACGTAGAGATACATATTAACTTAAAATATATAAAGTTTCACTCTCCCCTGGGCTGGTACTCAAATATCTGAAAAAGATCTCATGGTCATGCTTTTAAAAAGGACAAAAGGAAAGGGAAAAATAAGTAAACCATAGTTCTGTTTCGCTTTTCCTTTTTCTTTTCCTTTTCCTGCCTGCAGCCCCTCTTCCCAAACCTACCTATAGGCGTTGGCATTCTTTTCACACATTTGTGCTCACACAGGCATAAACCAGACACACACACACACACACACACACACACACACACACACACACACACACACA